TGAGCCACAGCTCACACTTCTCCCTGCTCTCTGGCTGCACCGATGCCTGGGACAGCGCCATTGATGGGGCGTCGCTGCGGTCGTCCACCACCACCTGCGGCTCAGACTTCTGGGGAGCGTCTGAAGTTGGAACACCACTGAGGAGTATCTTGTCCAAGCGGCTGAATGCGTCCCTGGCAGCCTTTGGGTTGGGCTGTTCAAAAGTTGGCAAGAGGCTTGACACTGCACCCGCCAGGACCTGCTTTATCGATCCTTGGTCGTCTTCCAGCTCGGAGACGCTGCGGTTCTTCCTCCGGCGCTGCTGCCAGATTGACGATGCGAAAGCTCGCCGCAGGACCGCCACCTGAAGTTGAGTGTAAGAACTTGAACTAAGAGAAGGACGGCGCTCGTGCTTTACCTGTGTCACCGCCTCCTGCCGTTCTGCTTGACACGATGACAGTGCTCTTCTCAGATCCAGGCATTGTTGCAAGAACCTGAATCGAAAGCACGGCGTCAAATTCATCAAGTGTCACAGTCGTCAATCAATGGATTGGATTACTGACGTTTGAGCTCGGACGTAAAAGCTCAACGTAAGTGTATCTTCCCCCGGAAGAAGGTACCCTTCGTTTTCAAGGTCATCAATCTTGAAAAATTGATAGTACCCCCAGCATGCACCTTCCTGTAATGTGACCCTTGTAAGTTACAATCAAATGATCTGGAGATATCGATTGCCTCAAAATCCGAAGAGAATCGCCTCACAACTTTCATGTGCGGCTGCGAACGATGTAACATCTCTATGCCATATTCATATGTTGTAGGCTCAGAGCCACCTTTGACCATCTAGACGTGACTAGCGTTAGTTTTTCTCAGGTGCATTGAATGAAAGGGCCGACCTCAAGAAATGCAGAAATGTGGCTTCCCTTCGATGAACCACTACCATTTGGATACACCTGCACGATCAAGTCAGGATCGTGACTGCAACCGCATGAGCACTTCAAGTACCTTTAGGCGCCAGGTAATCCCGGCGGCAGAAATCGGCTACAGCAAGGAAGCAGTTTTAGTTAGCAGTGACAAGTTTCAAACAAGATGCCATTATTTCACCTCCTTGTTATGTCCACTGCATCTAAGGTACCCACCGCACTGTAAACGATGTCGCTTGTGGAGTCAGTTGTACTAGAAGAATCGTTGCTCTCGCTTGGTTTCGCATGCAAATACTTTCTGAAGTTCTCAAGAACAAGCTCCCCGTGCTCAAACGGAGGAATAACCTACCACAAAAATTGTATAATGCATAAAGTTAGCTCTGCGTGGGATACCTCGGAAACAAAATCTGAAGAGACAGGGTCCCGCCTTAATTCAAGATTGATTTTCTTGTGCAAGTCCTGGAAACTTATCGAATGAGATCGTGCGCTACACAACAAGAACCAGTATCACCTGTATAATACATGTAATTGTCGGTTCATGAGCGATGAGATCGCTCTTAGACGATGTAGTTAATTGAAAATCAAGTTGACGCAAAATGGTCTCTAACAACTCCACCTGCAGAGGCCTGCAAATCAGGCTGAGCCGTAACATAAATAAAATCTCATACCTCTTGAGAAACAGTACCCTTCTGTGCCAATAGTGTCAGCAGCTTGCATTTGAGCTGTTCTTCGAGCTTCGCCTGCATGTCATATCAGCAAAACGATAGCAATTCCTGTTCTTGCAAAAAGAAAGCAGTTCTCACCCGCATTCTTTTGAAAGCCGCTTCAATCTCAGTCGCTTGATCATCTTTGGCCTGTTCTTAAGGACATAAGTCACACTCGCAAACATATGATATACCTTCAAGACAGCTTCAATGTCATTGTCAACCGACGCCAGCATATCATACAAATCCTGAGCAAAAGAGAAGACTTAGCATTACACGTAACAGTCGTAATAATCCTTACTTTAAGACGTGAACGTAGAGCTGATGCCTCGACATGCAATTTTTTGGAATGCCTTCCATAGGTCACATTTAGGCGTTCAAACGAGTGGTTTTGGTGGCTCTATAGAAACCAGAGTAAGATAAGTGAAAAAAAAAAAAGAGCGAGTATGACCTCGGCCAGGATGGCGCAGTCGGAGCACACTGCGGTCGAGCATGTGGTGCAGAAATACGAAAGTGGACTGCCATGAGCTGGGCAAATCTGCAATAGAAAAGGTCGGTGCGAGCACACGAAAATGTAGCCTTCTACCTTCTCTGGTGGAGCATCCTCGTCAAAATTCCCGTGTATTTTCTCCACTTCCTGCAAAAGCAAAATGGATGAGAAGACAGTCGGAACTAGCAAACTCACGTACCGTCGTAATCTCGGAAATGAATTTGCAGCCTACAAGTTGCGAGACCGAGAGCGAGGCACGGCAGTGAGGGCACTCGGGCTTCTGATCGGTTAACCAGCGCTGCAACCAGGCCGACAACACAGATGAGAAAAAGAAGTGAGAAAAGCTTGAGTTTATCAAATGACCTTGGAAATGATTCAGGCTGCAAGGCGTACTTTGATACATAGCATGCACACCAGCTTAGAGCAGCATGGACAAAGTTGAGCATCCATAAGCTGGAATGAAGAAACAAAACAAAGAACGGTCAGTGAGACTCTATATGGAACGAGAAAGACTACTACCTTTCCCAAGCAGATGAAACAGCGAAAGATTTCCGCGATGGCTGATGATAGAGTTCCAGATTTGTGGGGCTGCTCGATCTTGGTTCCCGACGCTTCGCAAAGTTTCTGCGACATTCTATCTCGCCGAAAGGAGCTGGCCTGTTCATCCACCACATTGTCGCCAGGAAAAATATTGCGAGCAACAGACACGTTGAGACGATCCGGCGAGAGCAATTGGCCCAGCCCCGATCGATTCCTCGCATCTCCCTTCTGCCTGGAAAGAATCCTCTCCTGCGATTTGTAAGGGCTCGATCCGATCCTGACAGCACCAGCTCGATCGGCGCCGCCCCTGACGCGATGATGCTGGCGATGCTGCCTACCTCGACCTCCTCGAATCCTGGTAAAGATCGAGGAGCAGCCAATGCCGCTCGCATTCCTTGTCAGCGGCGCCGAAGACGACAGGGTCGAGAAGCTGGAATCGGAGCTCTCATCATCTTCCTCCATCACGGGTAAAGTTTCGAGCCCTAAAAGGCGAAAACCGCTCTCCTACAAAGATCTAGGATCCAACGGCTGGGACGAAAAGAGATCAACGGCTGGCTATTAGGGTTTATAAGGCTCATTCCTTTAGGGTTTGTGGATAGGCTATGGGAGTGAGCGAAGGGGGCGAAATCTTGTCACAGGAGTTCCCAGCGCTTGAGAGGTATGTGGCAGTGGAATCGATCGGCCGCGGCAAGTATGGCAAGGTGTTCCTGGCCACGGACAAGCAGACCAGCGAGCGCGTGGCGATCAAGCGGCTAAGGGTCGACCCCAAAGAGGCGACGCTCAAGGTCAGAGAGGCCGGCGGCGAGCTGCGCGATGTGCCGGCGTCGATTGCCATCGAGATCAAGGTCCTCCGGCTGCTCAACAACGATCACGTTGTCAAGCTCCTGGATGTGATCTACGCGGCCACCGACATCTTCCTAGTCTTCGAGTATATGAAGCACGACCTTTGTGGGCTCATCCACCGGCATAAGTTCTCGGCCCCGGAGATCAAGTGCTACCTCAAGCAGATCCTCGAGGGCCTCCACTACTGCCATCTCAATGGAGTGATGCACAGGGACATCAAGTCGGCCAATCTCCTGGTGAGCGGCAAAGGGGTGCTCAAGCTCGCCGACTTTGGCATGTCCACGCCCATCCCCGAGACGCCCCGGCCGCTCCACTGTGGAGTAGTGACGCTTTGGAACCGGCCGCCGGAGCTCCTCCTTGGGTTCTCGTCCTACGGCCCTGCCGTGGATATGTGGTCGCTGGGCTGCGTCTTCGCGGAGCTGCTCGTCTGCCAGTCGATCCTCCCGGGCAAGGACGAGAAGCAGCAGCTGTCCTGGATCTTCAAGATGTGCGGCACTCCGGACGAGACCAGCTGGCCGGGGGTGTCCAAGTCGCCGGTTTACGCGAAGTTCGTGGCCGAGAACGGGAAGAAGCCGCGGCGGCTGCGCAAGGCGTTCAACAACGTGGACCCGAGAGCGCTGGATCTGCTCGAGCAGATGCTGACGCTCAACCCCGAGAAGCGGATCACGGCCGAGCAGGCGCTGCTGTCGGACTACCTGTGGACGGAGCCGCTGGCTTGCGCGCCGGCGGAGCTGCCGATCTCGCACGAGGCGTGCACCGAGATGAGATCGAAGCTGGACAGAAAGAAGCAGCACCAGCAGCCGCAGCAGCACCAGCAGCCGGCAAAGCGAAAGCTCGAGAGAGTGGATTCGCTCAAGCGCAGGCCGCCGACGCCTTCTTCTGTGAAAAAGGCGAAGCCGAGCAGTCACGGATCCTCCACCATCGCCACCGCCACCGCCGCGACTGCGAAGCGAGACGAGCAGCAGCAGCTCAAAGCTTCTCCCTCTCCATGGCAACGATCGCAGGCCCCGACGCCAAAGCCATGGGAGACGGCAACGCTGGCTTGCTGAAAAAGAGTCAGTTGAGTTGCTTGCTCGTTTGCTATTAACTTATTCTTGGTGGTTTTTTTTTTTTTGTTTTTTTTCTTGATCCTTTTTTTTTCCTTGTTTCTGCAGCTAGATGTAGAAGCAGAGTGTATACTACCTCCTATTTAGCTCGCAATAGGCCCTCCGCGCGATTATTTCCCCGTGGTGGTGATACGATACGAAAAAAGAAAAATCTGATACGAAAAAAAAGCGTTTGTGGCGCTTAATTTTATAAGCAGCCACACCGAAAAGTTAAAAAAGAAAAAGGAAAAACACTTCTTATAAAAAAAATCAAAAAAGGATTGGAAAAAACTAAAAACATTTTACGTTTTACCTTTGTTTTTCTTTAAGAAGTGAAAACTTTTTGGGGTTAGTAGAATATTCTGTTATTATTTTGAATATTCTTTTGTGGAGTATATTCTGATCTTGCTTCTGAATATTCTCTTGGGTTTAGGGCTTTCATGGGTCGTCCTCCCTTGAGCAAGGATGTTCCAACCAACTCACAGCTGCGCAAGCGCGTGAAAGCTGCGATTTTCGGCGGCGATCCGGCCTTTGTGACGACCAAGGCCATCCGCAAGGCTCTGGAGAAGGAATTTGGCGCCGGGAAGGTCAAGCCCAAGGAAGTAGCGCGGCTCGCCAAGCTCTATTTCAAGAAGAAGATCCGGCTGGACGAGAGCAAGCGGGCGCTAGATGAGAAGATCCAGGACACCCTCCAGAGCAATCGCAAGAGCCAGTAAGTTCTTCCTCCTCGTTTGGCATTCTTTGCGATTGATCTCTTGCTGGGACGGATAGAGCTGGGGCGCCTGGAAACAATAGCTTCCTCAAGGCCTTTCGCCTCTCTCCGGAGCTTCGAGCGGTCACTGGGCATCACATTCTCAGGAGACACGAAGTAAGCTCTAGTTGAATGAAAGCTAGAAATTCTTTTCCTTGTTCGTCTTTTCGAGGATTAGGCTGTGCAATGCTTGTGGCGCTACATCCGAGACAACAATCTCCAAGATCCAAGCGACAGGAAGATGATCCTGTGCGCCGGAAACAAGCTCTTCGACGTTTTCAAGGTGGATTCGATCAACATGTTTACCATTAACAAAGTTCTCCAAGATCACCTGCTACCGCTAGAAGAGGGTGAGTTTCTCTTGATTGTTTTGTTTCTTTGATCTTAGCGTGTGCTTGCTTGTAGGCTACGAGGACATTGACATGCCCAAGAAGAAGAAACTCGATCGATCTGATGATCGTCCAAGGCGTTCCAATTTCCTCACTCCATATCCAATCTCCGAGGCTCTCCAATCCTTCCTCGGCACTGATAGAACGACGATGTCTCGAGCCGAGGCGGTGGACAGAGTGTGGGAGTACATCCTTGACAAGGATCTCCAGGTAAAAGCAAGTTTCTTCTCGGGAGTTTTAGAGCTCTAAAAGTTGCGTTTGCGTTTTCTCGATCCAGGAACCAGGTAATCACAATGTCATGTGTGATGACAAGCTGCGAGAGTTGTTTAAGAAGAGCCACTGTTCACATTCCAAGGTCTCTCAGCTTGTAAATCGTCATTTTGTCGATGACTCCTCCGAGCAAGATGAAGTTCCGAGTTGACTAGGAGATTTTCTCTCGCAATCTGTAGCTTCGGTTAGGCTTCATGCGAAATACAACTTGTAAAATTACCTCGTATCAGTCCCAGCTTCCTTTGTCTCTCCTCGCCGATTTCTTGAGAGCAGACAGTTTCTTGGACTGGAGTCTCTTCATGTCTTCGGCAGCAGCACTAAAAATCCAAGTTTAAGTTCTGGGAAAGACTCGCAAGAAATAAGATAACTCACAGCCTTGCAATTCGTTGCTTGGTCTCCTTAGATGGAGGCGGTGGCACATAAGCTGCAGCATCAACTAATTCCTGGTAAACAAAGAGAAGAAACAAACTTAGCTGCCGAAGAAACAAAGCGCGATGAAAACCTGCCTGCAATTTAGCTAGAGCATCATCGATGTTTCCCCTGGCAAGAAAAGGTGAGTATTTTCTCTCTTGTGACATTCGGTTTACTTTTGTGTCCTTGTTCTTGTCGAAGAAATGACCAATTCACCGTCGCTGTTGATCCGGTTCTTCTCCTGTTCACGAAACGGAATGGAATTAGTATAGAAAAACTCATTCCAAACTACTAGACAGCCTCACATTTCAAAGATCGTGACAAACCGTTTGAAGCAGCTTGTTCCTCACTTGGAGAGGAAGCCAGTGCGCGTTCACCACATTGAATCGCATGTCCACTTTCGTGTTCACTGTCAAAGAAGAAATTCCAATCACCAAAGTCCCAAACACCGAAAAAATTAAACCTTTGTTCACATTTTGGCCGCCAGCACCTCCACTCCTCGCAAAGCTCACAGTCACATGATCTAGAACGAAAACCTCAGCCGAAATCCCTTCCCAGCTCCAAGAAACTCACCGATCGAGAGCCGAGGGATGGGCTGATTGCCATAATCCGCCTCGGCCGCCGCCTCCTCCCGGCTGGAGATCATCTGCTGCTTCTGGACGAGCCGCGCGGGCGCTTTCTTCTCCCCGGCCTTGCAAAGAACCGAGGCGCGCAAGCCCGGCCATCGCGGAGGAAGAGGAAGCCAAGCAGCCATTCCCAAGAACCCTAGAAACTCTCCAAGGTCGATAAAATATATTGTACAAACGAGACAACGTCGTATGATCAAAAAGTTCTTGCCAGTAACTTAGAAAAATCTTCTCTTCTTCCCTGTGATCTTTCCTCTCGAAACTTTACCGGCCATTGAGACGATCACTGGTGTTGGTGTTGGCATTGATCTCGCTGGAGCTCGTCGTGTCCGAACTCCTGAGCAGCCCGGCCCGCCGCCTCTCCATCTCCATGCTACTCATCCCTTCGCTGCTCGACACCGAGGGATTCATCCCATACTCGCTCGTCGGCGGGCCACTGTGCTCGGAGCTCCCGTGTTCTTGGCTTCCAAACACCGCCTTTCGGAACCTTTTCATGTCCGAGGCGTACTGGTTGCTATCGTAGTCCGCGCTCGTGAAGTTCGAGCTGTGGCCTGGCTTTACTCCTTGGTTGAGGCCGGAGATTGCTCCATCGCTTTCTAGAGCGCGGACAACCTGAAAGAAGAATGCGAGGAGTTTAGTAGTTGCTCGAGAAACAAAGAGGCAAACAAACCTGTGCCATCCTTGGGCGTTTGCTGGCTGAGTGTCGAACGCAGGCTGCAGCCGCCTCGACCATTCGTAGCATCTCGTTCTCGTTGTAGTTTGCTAGTCTTTCGTCGACTATGCCGTCGAGGTCGCCATTCTCGATAGCCTGCGTGAGGTATGGTCGTGCCTGAAAGAGGCAATAAGTTTTAGAAAGTCCAGGAATGAGCTTTTGCAAAGACTCACCCATTCGACCAAGCTTTCGTCTCCCACACGTTGCGTGGTATCTACAGGCCTCCTTCCCGTTATAAGTTCCAGTAGGACGACTCCAAAGGAGTACACGTCTGACTTCTCCGTCAGTTTTCCTGTGGAGGCGTACTCAGGCGCAAGGTACCTGGAAGTTTGAAAAATTCATATGGGAAACTGATATATTTGGTTGGTTATGTCCTTACCCGAAGGTTCCCATAACTCGAGTAGTGACATGTGTGTAAGTGTCAGAAGCGAGCTTCGCAAGCCCAAAGTCAGAGACCTGTAATGGACAAGCGTTACAATTGAAAGCAAGTGAGCAAATATGTAACAACAAACCTGAGCGTCAAAATTATTATCCAAAAGAATGTTAGACGACTTTATGTCCCGATGAATGATTCGAGGATGGCCTGCAAGAACGAATGACTTTTAGATTAAGTTCCAACGGAGAGATAGAGATCTTACAGTCTTCATGAAGATATGCTAGTCCACGAGCAGAACCAGAAGCTATTTTCAATCTTGTTGGCCAATCCATCACGGGTCTACCTTTACCTGAAAAAAACAAGAGAGAAAACGAGACTGAGAACAAGGAAAAACACGGACAAAAACTTGTACCGTGCAGGTGATGCTCCAGCGTTCCATTTGGCACGAAATCGTAAACCAGCAGCCTCTGAGCATCAGCAATGCAGTATCCAACCAGCGAAACCAGATGCCTGTGATGAACTCTGCTGATAATCTCAACCTCGGCTCGAAACTCACGCTCTCCTTGGCCGCTTCCAACTTTAAGCTGCTTCACAGCCACAACCTGTCCACCAGGTAAAAATCCCTTGTATACACAGCCAAAACCACCCTCGCCGAGAAGATTGGCCCTGGAGAATCCAGCAGTCGCTGCCTCAAGTTCCTCGTACGTGAACCACGACCTGGAGCTACCCATGCCCGGGCTCATACCGGGCGGTGGTGGTGGTGGCGGAACTGGCCTCCAGGAATCCTGGCTTCCCGAGCTGCTATAGTGCGGCGGTGGCGGCGGAGGTGGCGGAGGTGGTGGCGGAACTGGAGAGCCATACGCGTAATGCTTGTGAGGCGGCGGCGGCGGCGGTGGTGGCGGAGGAGGCTTGTGGCCATAATGATCTGGTCTTGGTCTCCTGCCAGCTTCATACATCTCTGGAACACGCAAGAAAACTTTTAGAACATGTCGCCTGCATTCCCTAAAGCTGGCAAAAGCCGAGTGGAACATTATCAAGAAGAAAAGCACTCATGCAAAAAGAGATAGCTTGAAAAACAAAGATGAAGAAAAGCACGCAAGCAAAAGGGAGAGGAAGAAACTTTACCAGCTTTGTATTGCCCGGATCCATACTCGTGGTCATCTCGTCTATACTTCCTCTTGGGCTTCCTTCGGAGGCAGCAAACCACCAGCGCGAGCACGATCAAGATCAAAATCCCGGCCGCGGAAATCCCCACAATCGCGCCAGTGGTAATCGGGCTATTGCCGCCGCCGCCGCCGCTATCGCCAGTCGCTGGGTTTCCACCACCATTGCCAGTACTTGGTGTTCTCGGAGGAGATCCCCGAGAAGGAGGCGTTGGCGTTGATGGAATGGGCGGTGTTGGCGCGGATGGAGTGCCTGGAGCTGGATTTTGCGGAGGATTGACTATAGCCGGCGGAGGAGAGGCCGGAGGAGCAGGAGGTGTGCCAGGAAGAACAGGAGGAGGAGGAGGAGATGGATCGACAGGCGGACCAGTAGTAGGAGGCGGAGAGGAAGGAACAACGGGAGCTACTGGAGGAGGAGGTGAGACTGGCGGCACTGGAGCTGGAGCCGATGGAACAGCCGGCGGTGGAGCTCCTCCTCCTCCCCCGGCTGGAGGACTAGGCGCTGGCGCGGACATTCTTGCTGCCTCTGTGCTAGAATTTCTTTGCGACCCTGGAAATAGCCTGTTCTAGCCGCGATATTTCGGTCACAGAACGATCGATCGATCGCAATCCCTGTCCCTTCCCCGCAAATGTACGATCTAGCCTAGATCAGATCCGTGTGATACCTACCAGAGCGCCCGATCGATCCATCTATGCGTGGAAAGGGGAGGAATCGATCATCGCCCTATCTCTAGTCGTCTCTAGCCCTAGTGGCGACGAAGAGCTCCTCAGCAAAGCCGGCTTGATTTCCCTCTCATGCAGCCAGCCGCCATGGTTAGCACACGGCAGAATTGACGCTGCTTGCCACCTGGCAGACGGAATATGCATCCCAGACTCATACTTTTTGGTGACAGGACTAGCGCGTCACATTCCAGCGAACTAGATTGCCTTGCAAACCCGGGAAGCCATAATGCCGGGCGGGCCGCATGACGTGGACGTAGCGGCCACGTGGCAAGTACCGGCTGGCATCCACTCACCTTGCAGGCCACAAAAGAAAACAATAACTAGCTACGATTCGTTCATGTCATGTCAGGAACAAAATTTCTTTTTTTCTTACAAGCGCCTGTTATTTAGTTGGCTTAGCAAGACCGTACGGTGGCATTCTTGCGCGTTGTACGAAGAGGTTGGGCCACAGTGGCCATGGGACAACACGACAAGGCCGTCACCATTTCGATTCCCCATTATCAAACGGTCCTTGACACATGTGTCGCGATCCACTGCTACGAGAACAAACACACAAACGTCGCAAGCTCGCGTGAAGAACAGTGACCACCACCACTATAAGTTGGAGAGCTACTTCTTCAAAATCTTCTCTTAATACGCGCTCATGATCTCCCATTTCAATGGTCCAAGCCGGCCCATTATTGCACATGAGAGGAGCGGAGATTTTTTCTTCTTTCATCGAAACAAAAAATAAAAAACGCAAGAAAAATACCCCGTCGATCATTCCATGGATTTGTCTTTGTTTTTAATCTTCTTAGCATGATCTAGGGGAGTTTCTCTGGCCCGTGGAGGAAAAACGCGTAAGCTACAGGCTTTCCACGCAAAACTTAGACAAAACAAAGCAAGAATCTTACATTTTCCAATGGCACCACGTTGAGTTGTTATTCTTCTTCTGTGAGTTTCGAGCTTGGACGTTAGTATTTCAAAGCGACTTTTGTAACTTTAGCTCGTTTCGCTATCGCAGACTCTGAAAGGAATATAGAATATAAATTTATGACGAAAAAGAGTGCTCTTTGCATGCTTCTTTGAGAATCCTATTGGTGCATCGTTTGTTTGTGGCTCCACATACCAGACATCGCAAACGACTACCCAGGATGTCATCAGCCTCAGCTAAACGAAAGAAAAAACTTAAAGTCAATCGAGATGAAAAGTATAGACTTAGCGTGGACAATTATCTTGTTTTACTTTGATAGCAACGGG